TCAATGGAGGGATACAGATTGTGACTCAGTATATGGAGTCAAGGAGAATCATTAAAAGTTGACATGAATAGGACTGGCCGGAATCTGCCAAATGAAAGCTCCAGAGGGTTAATGTAGTGCACCATTTAGAAGCACAATAAATTAATCCAGTTTTGATGATAAAAACGTCCATTAGGGAGAGAAAAGTGAATAACTATTTTTCAAGTATCTTTGTAAAGATTAGTGCAGGAAAAGGAGATTTTTAGGATCATGTGATAAACATAGAAAATAGGAGCAGGAGTCAGCGATCTGGCCCTTTGAGCCTGCTTTGCCGTGCAATATGATCATGGCTGATCATCTCTTTAGTATCTTGTTCTGACTTTCATTCCATAGGTTTTGATCCCTTCAGATGTCGAATGAAACCTTCTTGGTTTACTAAAAACTGTGTCACATTCTCGGCCTCGGTTATATTTTTTTTCTGTTTTCCACATTGGTCTTTCTCATGGCCTGCTTGGAAAAGCTTTCCGTTTTGTCCTTGTTTTTTGATATTGTGGTACCACATCCATGAACAATTGATCTGAGATTATCCAAACTCAGTTTGGAAATTTTTAGTACTGTTGAAGTTGAAATGTATACCCATCATTTTGAGTTGGATTTAAATTTGTATTCGCCCATGTAATGTTACACCTGATTTTCCTTTCCCATTCCCAAGAAAATTAAAAAAAAAAACTTAGCACCTCCTTCAACAGTGAAGTAGAGAAGCAATCAGCAGAACAATGCTAATGGTCAGAACTGGTGGAGAAATTGGAAAGAAAAGCAATGTTGTCTTGGCTCGACGAGGAAACTATTGAGCTAACGAGAGGGGAGCACTCTTGAGACTAAGGTGGGGGGAGAAACCAAAACCAATTAATAACATGTTGGATTCCACAGAGAAGGGCAAATCAAAACCTAAATGTATTGAAGTCATTTATGTGTGAGAATTTGCCATAAACATTGAAGTAATGTTTAAAAAATACATCATAGGACAGTAAGTTTGCAGCACAAGTTACCCTGCTCTGTTATTCCCTTGTATCCAAAAAGATCAACTTGCAAATCAAAATCTTTTATTATCCTATCTCAATTCATTCAAGTTTAGCTTTCTTTTCTTTTGTATGAAAATGCATGAGATTGATTATTTATTCATATTTTGAAAATTTCCTCTACAATTTTGTCAAGGTCAATTTTTCTTCCTTGACACTTGGTCTAAAGATAATTCTTTCATTATTATTAAAAACATTACTAATATTTGCCAGAAGGTTAAGATGTGCAACTCTTTTTCCTGAACCTGAACTAACAGCTGAAAATTGTAGTTCTGTGAATGAACGTGATATTGCTAATGATGAGTGTTTTGTTTTAAATCAACTTGCAATGGGACAAAATATAGGAAATAAGTGATCCATATAAGACTTTAAAACCTTTGAAGGTTTTCTAGAAATTTGTTTAGGTGCCATCTTTTTTGGCGCGGCTACAAAATCTTTTTCTGATACAAGTACTGGTTTCTTTTGCAGTTTGTTGCATATTTTAAGAACCCCGATATTGAAGGCTCTGTAAGGACCTTCACTTGGTGTTTGGTTTAGGAGTGTTGGCTTGTGGATCACCGAAAGATGAAAGGATTTGTTGAACTAGAAGAGAGCTACCCCTTTGACCTTCTGGAAGAAAAAACTACCCTTAATGATGTTATTGATGACCGTATTCGTGAGCATACTGTTGAGGTAAGCATATTTTGTATATTGATGGTAAATTAATCTAATAGTTACGTGCCAATCAGGCAAGCTGAAAGACAAAGCCATTCATATTAAAATTAACATTGATTAACCTGCACAAAGCCTACCAGAGCACCATGCTAGAAAAATGATGGGAAGCCAATTGCAACTCTTATTAGAATGTTGCCAGGCAAATCCCAGTGATTACAAGGTCACTTCAGTAAGCTAAAATCAAGTTTATATGCCATTGCTTTTGCTATGAGTTTACATTCTATCTGTTGTACATGAATAATTGCATTCTCTGTAGCTGAAACCATAATCTAATCATACTATCCTTAGCGTAGCGTTCTAGACCCAACCATCTCCAGCTGTTTCATCAATGACCTTTCTTCCATCAAAGTGTCAGAAATAGCTGTGATTGCACCATGTTCAGTACCATTCGTGACGAATTGGGTATTGAAGTTCAAATGCAACAAGAGCTGATCGGTATCCGGGTTTGGGCTGACAAGTGGCAAGTAACATTCATGCCAAACAAATGCCAGGCTGTAACCATCTCCAATAAGAGGTGATCTAACCACTACCTGTTGACATTCAATGGTGTTACCATCACTGAGTTCTCTAGTATCAACATCCTTTGGCTTATTGTTGAGAAACTCAAGTGGACTCACCATATAAACACAGTGGCTACAAGAGCCCGTCAGAGGCAAGGAATACTGCAGCAGGTATTTCCTGACTCTCCAAAGCCTGTCCACCATCTTCAAGGCACAAGTCAGGAGTGATTGAATACTCCCCAATTGCCTGTATAGGTGCAGTTCCAACAATACTCAAGAGGCTTGACACCATTCAAGCCAAAGCAGCCTCCTTGATTGATACCATATCCACAAACATCCACTCCTTCTACAACTGACACTCCGTAGTAGCTGTGTGTACTGTCTACAAGATGCACTGCAGAAATTCACCAGAAATCCTTATATAGCACCTTTCAAACCCATGACTACTTCCAGCTAGAAGTACAGGTGACCAAATATACGGGAACGCCACCTGCAAGTTCCCCTCCAAGTCTGTCACTATCCTGTTTGGGAAATATATCACCGTTCCTTCACTATCGTGGGGTCAAAATCTGGGGATTCTTTTCCTAACAGCATTATGGGTCAACCAACAGCGTGTGGACTACCATTCAAGAAAGCAGCTCATCATCACCTTTTCAAAGGCAACTAGGGATGGGCAATAAATGCTGGCCAGCCAGCAATGCTCAGATACCACAAATGAATATTTTAAAAATTGGGTTTTCATTGTACTGTATCACATCCCAGGAATATGTCAAAGTATGTCATTTTGAAATCTGCAGTTAACTTGATCTATAGGCGGATTGGCATGGTTGCATACACTTCACAGGCTGAATGACAAGTGAATTTGTTTATGATAGTATTAGTTGAGGAAAGAACGTTAGCCTGTGAGAACTTCTTTTCAAATGATGCCACATGATCATTGGCAGACCGGCTGTTATGCGCTTGGTTTAATTTTTCATCCAAGTTCTAGAAACATTTTTAAGAGTAGTAGTGGGCAGTTCAGTCCCTTGACCAGACTCTACTATTTAATGTGATTACGGTTGATGATTTACTTAAATACCATTTTCTTGCGCTATCCTTTGATATTTTTAACATGTAGAAATCTATCAAACTCCGTCTGGGTTAGAGAAATACAAAGATTCAGCACCCTCCAAAGTGATGAAATTTCTTTTCATCAGTGTCCTATGTGACCCCTCACTCTGAGCCCATGCCTCCTTGTTCGAGACACTTTGTCAATCCCGGGAAGAATTGTGTATTTGAATGAGAGGAGCCCTATTCTGCTAAACTCGAGGGAATAAAAGCTCAGTCTTTTTAGCCTTTCCTTAATTTGGTGTACTCCCTATGGCAAAGATATACAGGTAAGTAACACAGTAGTCAATAAGAGCATGTCTATGGTGCAGGTTTTTTTAAGACTTCCAGAAGGCATTCAGTGACTGTTTCACATAAAACTGTTAGCTAAAAATAATGCTCGTGGAATCAAAGGCAAATTATTGACTTGGTAAATGACTGAGAAAGGATAAAATTAGTGTATTCAAATTGGAAGGATGTGATTAGTGAGTTTCCCAAAAGGATCTTAGCTGAAGTCTCGACTGGATTCTATTGATGACTTGGATACATCAGTAGAAAACTACATATCCAAGTCTGGTGATGATGGAGTCATCGTAACTAATGCAGGCTAGAGGATAAAGTTGCCAAGAGATGCTGATTAATAATTGAACAAAACGTTGATGTATTTCAAGACAAACAAGTGTGAAGTCCAAAAGGTAAATACTCGAATACTGAAAAAGTTGTTTTGACTATTTCCGTGATGAGCTTAGAATAGTGGAGGCCTTAAAATAGTTGTGGCTCCTTCTTTAGATGATTGATGGTAATCAGGTATAAAAGGAATTCAAAGGGGCTGTTGGAATGTTGACTTTTATAACTGGAGCACTGGAACATAAAGGGGACACACTTTTACTGTAACTGTACAAGTTTGTTCAGAGCACTGTGTACTGTTTTAAGCACCAGAAATTAAAATGGTTACACTTTGCTCAAAAGGGGCACAGATTCACCAGAATGTTTGCACCAGGGCTCTAAGGATTGAGAGGTGTAAGAAGCATTTACATATGGGAACTATGCATTTAATTCTGTTATTTACACACACGCAGACCTCAATCACCACCACCGCCTCCTAGTTTTACAGCATGTTTCTCATTTTTCATTGAGCTAATACCATCTTCAAAACTTGTACCAATCTTTGGGACAGAAGTTATTTATTCCAGGAATGAAGGACTTTAGCTATGCAAAGAAATTACAGAAGCTAGAATTATTCAGAACTGACTAAGTTGAAAGGACATGGAAATTATGGCGGCTTTGATAACAAATGGAAAATTGTTTCCACTTGTCCGTAGGGTAGAAGACAAATGTAAAGAAATTAGCAAAGGACCAAAGGGGAGATGAGATTTTTTTGTGATCTTCAAGACACTGCCTGAGGGTGGCATGAACAGTCCAAATAAAAATTTTCAAAACTGAATGGCCTCATCCTTCACTAAGCATTTGTTGTAACTTGTATTGGATCTTACTGGTTGATACAATGGAATGAAAAGCAAACTGATACATTGTGTGTACACAACTTAATTTGTCCACTTTATGCAATGGAACCGAACTGGTTCAGATTAGCATCAAGGATAAATCAGTGTTGCTATTAAACCAAAGAACGCTGGCATTTGCATGCATTTTCTAATTTCTTATACATGTAAGACTAGGGTAAGTCACACATTACTATTATTAGTTTTCCAAGATTAAACAAACCCTGCAAGTATCACAGGAGTTTTTAGCTTGAGTTGCACATTATAGCCTGTCTGCTAATGACTGGCATCTAACTCAGACATGAAAAACAAAATAAAATATATTAAATAGAAAGGAACTGTTTTGAGTGTATTCGGTTTCCATTTTTTCTCTCAATATGGTGATCTGAGAGCTAAACATTCTGCTACTACCGTTGTGGTGCTGGAGCGAGTACTTAATGATTTGTTTTTGTCAAGACCATGTTGATTCCATGCTGCAAACAACAATCATTCACTGTGTACTGAATAAGAACCTACAAGTGCAATCTTCCTGCTGCCTTAAACTAGGGGTTTGACAGTGAGGACAGCAGTTTTTAAAAAAGAAACAGGGAATTCATAGAATCCCTACGGTTCAGGTAGAGGCCCATCAAGTCTGCACTGATCCTTCGAAGAGCATTCCACCCAGACCCAGCCCTTCACCCTATCGTCATACCCCTGCATTTTACCATGTCTAATCCACCTAATGTGTACAACCTTTGGACTGTGGGAGAAAACTCACAGACACAGGGAGAATGTGGAATTTGCACACAGTTGTTCAAGGCGGAAATCGAATCCTGGTCTGTGGCTAACCCTGCCAACCACTGTGCTGCCCTTCAGTTGAGCAGAATGGAAAGCACATGAAAATTGGTGTAGCTGACTGCAAAGTTAGCCATTTTTGGGATGATAAACAAAGAATGAAAACATGCACTTGGTAGATAGAAACCTAAGGTGGGTATCTAGCAGTTTTAGGTATACAAGTCCCTGAAAGTGCGAATGTACGTAAATGGATAAACCTGTGAACAAAAAGGCAAAAGCCATTAAGTACCAAATGGGAAATATAATGTATTTGTACAGACATTGGTTAGGCCACAGTTATTTCACAATGTAAAATGTTGCATATCCCACTATACTGCAATATTGAAGTCAAAAGAGAGATCATAGCATAGATTTGCAATTATAATGCTGCTGAGTGAAAACTAATAATGACAAGCGATTCGAGTGGAGCGAAAACGCTGAGGAAATTTTGACTTTTAAAAACCATGTCAGGTTTTGATAGGGTGACGAACCAAGACTAATTAAACACTCAGGTTCAGAAGTCGATCATAAAGGGTTAGTAATCTAAAATGATCCATGAATAAAAGAAGTCAGAGGAAACATCATCACTCTAGCTTGGTGTGTGCTTTTGCTTCAGTGAGTAGGTGAGGCAGAAGCCATTATAGCTTTTACAGAGAAAATGAGAATATTTGAAACAAAGTAAGAGTCAAAGCTCTATGGATCCAATGGTATTACTTCTGGGTTACCTTTGCAAAAGCCAAGATGAACATGATAACCTCAATTGCATACTTCTGAGCTTCAGGGTTTGAGTGAAGATTTGTAGCTCAGGTGCTGGTTGTGGATATTGGTTGTTTGCTGAGCTGGGAGGTTTGATAGACTTTTCGTCCCCTTACGAGGTGATATCCTTCCTCAGTGCTGTGGAGCTTCCTGTGAAGCGCTGTTGTCCTGTGCCGGTTCAAATTTGTATGGTCTGATTTTTGCTGCTTCCGGTAGACACCTATCAAACCTCCCAGCTCAGCGAACACCAACATCTACAATTTCTGAGCTTTGTTTCTATAAATGGACATTTGGTGGTAATGAGAGGGGGAGGAGAAGATTCTGAATTCAGATTTGCGGAACTCCTCGGTTATTTTTAATCATTTTAGCCATTTTAATACTTACATTTGTGTTTTAAATTCCAAGAAATGTTAAAATCCTTTGCTGTTTCTGTAATAGAATCTTATGGTGAATTTATATTGCTAATATGCCTACTGGCAAATCTGAGAAGTCCACTTCTGGTGGTGTGGACACTCTACCATTTATATTGTTTTTACCATATCAGATAGTGGAATTAAAAGTCTTATGATAACCATGTCACCACTGTTTTGTTGTAAAAACCCAGCTGGTTCACTAATGTCCTTTAGTAATGTCAGTCTGCTGATCTTACCTGGTCTGGGCCTACATGCAACTCCAGGCCCACAGTAATGTGGTTGACTCTTAACTGCCCTCCAAGGCAACTGGAGGTGGACAATAAATGCTGGCCAAACCAACGATGTCCACAACCCATGAATCAACTTTTAAAAATGGTAATTTGTAGACTGGTTTTTTGAAGCATACTTTTAATGATTAGAATGTTACATTTTACCAACAAGAGATAAGACATTTCTAAATTCACATACAATTTACACAACTCATGCCCCTGTCCTAAAAACTGCACTTCCATAAAGAAATGCCATTTGTTACAGCAAATATTGTGACCCTTTGAGTTGTTTCAGTAAAGGTATTTTAATACAACTGTTGTAGAAACAGGCACAAAAATCCTATGTCTGAACAATATATTGAGTTGATTTAATTTATTTAGATTGTTCAGTTGTTTCAATTGTCTGAGAATATTATGTTAATTCAACTGGCTTCTAAAGATTTCCATTCACATTTTTAAATAGTTTAAAGGTACTGTTTATTTTCTGCCACACAAGTGGTAGCCTATAAAGGTCATTTGTATTTATTAGTCTAAATTGTAGCTGTTAGATTCATAACTTAACTTGTGAATTTGGACTTAACTGGTTGATTCGAGAATCAAATTGTTTGGTAATACCTTGTGCCCAAGCTGATCAGTTGAGAAAATTCATTTTGTTCCAGTTATTTATTCAGAGCTAGAAGCTTTCTGGCTATGTCCAGGTTGAGTTTTTAAACAGACATTACTTCTTTGATAGATTTGTTTACTTCCCTCTCTATCCCTGGATAGAAGAATAGACATTTGGACCCCAGTTCTTAATGCATTAATAATGAACAGAAGTTAGCACCAGAAAGCTGGCATTCCCCGTTTTCTGATTTGTGTGACTGAGTGTGACATTCTAAACCGGGATACAAGGTTGCTCCTTAACTACCTTCATTTTGGAAGTCTTGATATGTAAACCTACTCTTGCTTCTTGGTGGATATTAGGGAGCAAGGAGGATCACTTAACAGAATCCTATCTGTACCGGGTTGACGTTCATTGAACCATAGAAAGACCTACAGTAGAGAAGGAAGCCTTTCAGCCCGTTGAGTTCCTGCCAACTCTTGTTCAGAGCAATCCAGCTGGTACCAATCCCAAACTCTATGACCTTGCACTTCTTCTTTCTTTTCATGCCCTAATTTCCAAAGGATTGCTTGGTGCACTGAATTGACCAGCTGAAACCAGCCAGCTCAGCAAATTAGAAATCTGACCTATTTGGGAACTTGGCAAAATACTGTGAATGCTGGCAATTTGAGAGAAACCGAATGCTAGAGAAACTCAGCAGATCTGGCAGTATCTGTGGAGAGACAAACAGTTAATGTTTCCAGTCCGATATGACTTTAGAGCAGTCTGCCAGACCTCGTGTTTCTCCAGCATTCTGTTTGTTTCTATCTGCGATCTTCCTGATAAACTACAATCAATAATCAGTTGAGCCATTAGTATTTTATTTCTGCAATCTCTAACAACCACGAAGAGTAATATTTCAGGTAACAAGCCAGATTACCATACAGTTCTTTCTAATATTTATTAGTAACTGATGCTTTTCTAATTCCTCAATTGTAGCAAACTGAAAGGAATGCCTTCTTTGTTGCTGATCTTGGGAATGTTGTAAAGAAGAATATTCGATGGAAGAATGTGATGACACATGTGAAACCATTTTACACGGTTAAGTGTAACAGCAGTCACTCTGTAATTGAAGTTTTGGCAGCTCTTGGAACTGGTTTTGCTTGTGCAAACAAGGTGACAATTACTATAATTTGTGTTTATGTTGCATTAATTTTAGAGAAATTTGCATTTCATAGTCCAGTAATGCTCTTCATATAACTTTAGCTAAAAATTTAGAGAATTGAAGGATAGAAGTTCATATGCCTGAATACCTAATTTATTTCCTCACAGAATGAAATAACTCTAGTGCAACGCTTGGGAGTAACACCTGAAAATATTATCTACACAAACCCATGCAAACAAGTTTCCCAGATTAAGTATGCAGCTAAAAAAGGAATAAATGTCATGAGCTGTGATAACAATGCTGAACTTCTGAAAATTGCACGTAACCATCGCAGTGCCAAGTAAGTGTATAAACTTAACAGAAATAAGTAGTATAGATTGTTTAACAAGTAACTGGAATATTTGTCCATTGTGATGCTGTGATTAGACAGTATATTTTATTGTACAATTCAAAAATAGATTGGATCATTCTCTGTGCATGTTATCAATTTGGTAACTAAAATCTGGGTCATAAATTTTAAATCATGGGTTGCATTTCTATATGGGTATGAATGGATTTGGCTGTTGAGGTGGTGTCATTTGAAGAGTCTCTTTTTCTCACTGAGAATTATGATTCAAAGCATAAAGACAAACTCTACCAATGTTTATTGTAAAACAAAAACTGGACCTTCTCCACAATTTTGTAAATGATTTCTATTTCTTTGTCAGTGTTGTGCAGAAATGGATATTAAGCTCTTTTGTCTAAAGTAAATGCCTCGAAACCTTGTTTCCCTTTCTAAAGTTAAAATAGATGAATTGAAGTGCTTCCTGGATGACCAGAGCATAACTATTCTATAATATTGGTAAATTGAAACCTAATCTTAGCTTGTGCTTCAAATTTTTAAAACCTAAACCTCAAAGGAGACTGAACTGAAGGAGTTATAAATTACTGTAGTTTTTAAAGAGTAGCCTCTATGATTAAATATTTACACTTCGCATAAATACAAATTTTATTAGGTAAGGTGACTGGTCATTTAATATTTTTGAAAAACCAGAAGAGTGAACCCGATATCACACTGCAATTGGTTTTGAATAGAAATGTAACTACCTTAATATCCTATATAAAGAATTGGCAAGCTTCCATGGTTATTAGTCAGTAGTAAAAAATAATCATGGTGTTTAGTGCCTGACTCTAAGGAAAACCTGAACCATCTAATGCAGTACAGAAACAAAATACCTGAGATGCTGAAAATCTGAAATTAGAATAGATAGTGCTTGAAACATTCAGTATCAATAGGAAGTAGAACAGTTAACCTTTTTAGTCAATAGCCATTTAAGTTCTGGGAAAACTTAGACAGGTTTTGAGCAGTATCGGGATGGCAGGGGATAGACCATGCAGCCTTAAGGTTGCTCTGCCATTCCATATGATTCTGATTGATCTTTGGCTCCACTTTCTTGCTCATTCCTCACGTCCATTGTTTCCCGAAGAGCCCCAAAATCTGTCTGTTTCAGCCTTAAGTACATTCAAGAATGGACATTCTCAACCTCAGAAGTTCAGAATTTCAGATAAATCTTGAGTGAAGATATTTCTCCTCTTCTCAGTCATAAATGAACTTACTTTCCCTTATTTTGAAACTGCCCACAAATTCTGGATTACCTAGCCAGAGAACCAACCTCTGTGTTTACCTTGTCAAGCACCTTCAGAAATTAGCATTTCAATGAGCTCACCTTTCATTCTTCTAAACTTCAGGAAATGTAGACTCAATGTACACAACCATGTGGAATGAACCCCTCATGCCAGGAACTAATCTGGTAAACCTTCTCTCTACTCCTTCCAGTGCAAGTGTGGCCTTCTTTAAATCTAAAGACCATAATGTGCACAGTTTTCCATGTATTGTTTTACCAAAGCAATGCATAATTTTTGCTAGAATTCTTTATTTTTATTGTCTTCTCACCTTGCAATGAAGGCCATTTGCCTTCTTTCTAACTCCACATTCTGAGGCTAGTGTAACATTTGAGCTTCGTGTAGGATGATAATGGGTAATATATTTATGCAATAAACAACCTAACCATTTTTTCCTTGTTTAATTATCTGTGGTATATCTTCCTATACACTTTCCCTTTGTAACCCAATACTATATACTATGATCTTGCATTCCATTAACTTTGCCTACATTCCTGTCTGAATATGATTTCACCTCCTTAAAAAACTGAGCTGATGTAAACATAATTGGACCAGTACCACAATAGGAATTAATCAGTGAGTTGAAGATAAAGTCCTTAATTTGGAATATGAACATGATGCTATGGAATAGGCAGTGGAGACATTGATGTTTCTGCATACTCCTGGAAGGTTTAGTACCGTGGCGGATATCAAAATTAGAACTGTTTGTTGCATGAATAGGTTCGCAAAGCAATGTTTGTGTCAACAATCCTAATGTCTTAACTGTTCTATAGGGACATTTACACACTTTAGGTATTAAAGGAACTGCGTATAATAATGACTTGTATACAAGAAGTTTTGTTATCCAGCTATTGAAACGGAAAAGTATAGAATGTTCATCCCACAAAACACTACAGTGATTTTCTCAATTAGGACAAAGTCACCTTTTGAATCTCAGACTGAGCAGCATAGTGTTGCTGTTTATCACTTCTTGATAGTATAATTTTTAATTGAATCGATACAATTGCTTGGGTGTCAGTAAGTAGCTGTTATCGCTGTATTGTAGAGTCTAGATTCCATGGTTGTGATTACACACTTGGAAAGGCTGATCATTGTGTTCTGTTTTTGAATATAAACTGTCCATTACAAAAATAATCCAAATGGGGAAAATCTCAAGCATTTGATTTCTGAGCCATAATTTGCAAAAATAAAATTAATGATCACAAAAACCAGCATATTGAGAAGAGATTGTTTGTTTGCAATTTTTTGTTACTGGTGGGTTATCAATCATAACATGGAATGTAGTTTAATTGAAAGAATTAGAACTATTATGTAAACAGCACACCTTTTAAAATACTAGGTTTTTACCATTGGTGTCATTTTGTGCAGAATTGGTCTAAATATTATTAATATTCTTCTGAACTTAATTCACCTTTTCCTGTAAATTCATACTTTTAAGGACAAAAGTACTGAGACGGTGTCAATTTAAAAGAGCTGTATTAAAAGAAGAAATACCCAGACAGTGTTCATTTTAATACCATTTGGAAATACTGTCTGCTCTGACATTCCAGATTATTTAATTAAAATGATTTTTTTAAACTGTTGTTTTAAAATCTTTATCAGCAGTTATTGTTCTCTGCCTTTTATTGCCATTAGACTCGTATCTTGTCAAGGATTGGTAGAAGTGACAAAAGTGCTATGATCTGCTCAAGGACTTGGAAGTGTTATTACATGACAACCAATAGGAAAAGTTAAGATTATATTACAAGTGAATGTAAAACTGCCAAGGAAATAACTCAGGATAAAGTTTCAGTAAGACAGTGAGCAAGGATTGCCTTCAGACACAGTACTCGTGCAACGGAATAGAATTCACTTAAAATGCCATGTTAGCTATAGATACCCATAAATCTTTAATACGATCATTTTCACAGAATGAAGTGTTCATCCCAAGCGCATACAAATATTATATGTGAATCAGTACGAAGGAAGATAAAATCTGGACCAAAAATTGGATTGTACACTGCCTGTTTCTTGGACAGAAAACAGTACCAAATATTCAGATTGTGCTGGGGAAGTGTCATTCACCAAATCAGTTGGAGCATCCAGACTTGTGCAGGGTACCTGCTTGAGCAGTGAATGTTCATTCCATGTCAACTTCAGAAACTGAGAAATGCTGGAAATCGGAAATGTAAACCAAAAGTGCTGGAGAAGCTTAGCAGGTCCGGCAGTGCGGCACAGTCGTTAGTGCTGCTGTCTTTCAACTCCAGGGACCTGGGTTCAGTTCTAAAATTCTAACTTTGAACGACACTGTGTGGAGTTTGTACATTCTCCTTGTGTCTGCCTGGGTTTTGCTGGGTGCTCCAGCTTCCTCCCACAGTCCGAAGAATGTGCAGGCAAGGTAGATTAGCATAATAATTGGATTAGCCATGATAAATCCTTTCTATAGGATCATGGAGCATCAGATTTGATGTTTTGAGTCCAATTTGTCTCTTCTTTGGAACAAAGCCTTTCACTTCTGGAGAAGAGTTACAATTGGACTCAATGTTAATTCTGTACCTTTCTCCACAGACTGCCAGACCTGCTGAGTTTTTCCAGCACTTTCCAACCTTAAAGGAATCTCTAGTCTGTCATCAAAAAAGCAAAGGTAAGCAAAAAACTTTATGCCACTTGAATAATGGACCCTGGGAAGCAGGAGTCAAATTTTCTAGTTTTATTGAAATATTTTGATTGGAAAGTGTTTTTCTATTTGAAGTTAATTATATTAGTGGTGCTGAGTCTGCCTTGTGATACCCAGAACTGACTGCAGTGTAAAGTTATGCAGTTTCGCTGAATGTCCTTGATACTTCTTAGTAAAACTATTTGTAACTGTGGCCTGCTCATAGCTGATAAATGTTTCAGAATTGGATAGTGAGTTGCTAGGTAATGCTGAAAACTTAATGTGCATTGTAATACTGTTTTTAAAAAGAAAATTATACTCCAAAACCAACAAAAGCAATCTTGGGTGAGAAGTGATTTTGCAAACTTTCTGTTAAAGTAACATTTTTGCTAAGATCTATTATTTAGCTATTAAAATGTTAGATCAGAAAACTACTTGCTTTCCTCCCTTCAAGGCATAGCTTGTGCTGAAATACATTCCAAGGTACCAGAAAGCAATCGGCACCCATTCTAAATGTTGAGCCCGTACAATATCCATTGATATGCTGTTTTGTTATCGGGAAACCTGGAAGCTTCAGTCATGTCCATAATAGGTATTCATAAAATCTTACCTTCCAAAAGGCATGTAGATGGTTGTTGGGTATGGGACACCTGGTAAAACTTTAAGACTCTACTGACCTGTTGCCATACCACTTCAGCCGATGAGCAGGAGCAGTAGAAATGATTAGGTCAGTATATGTTTCATTATTAACAAAGTAATTTATCTTAACCAGCAGCAGTTATACTCTGTGCATTTTTCTAATTGAAACAGTTGTTTTTAAGTGTTCAATGCTCTTAAATGGACTTTTGTTACAGCACCTAGTCAACTCTTTTGATGAAACAATTGAGTCTTGACTTGCTGCATTTTTTCTCCCCTCATGTCCTTTGCAACATATGTAGCTACACATCTAGGCCCTAATCACCAGTTTTCTCTCCTGTGCAGGATTTGTTTCTATTTAGGTTCATGTTCCGAGCTTGGAAGTGGGAGCCCCTGCCAGCATAATCTTCATGCTACTGACAGTCTTCAAGCTGCACATATGATGATGTAAACCAACTGTGCCCCAATCATCTTCCTCTTTTAGGCTCTTGGTAGACATTGCAATTGCTGATTCATGTGAAGAAAATGAGATGAGTCTGAAGTTTGGAGCTACTTTGAAGGACTGTAGACATCTGTTGGAATCTGCAAAAGAACTAGGGGTTCAGGTGGTTGGTGTCAGGTGAGCAGTACCAAATTTTTATTTCAATAATATGAAACATGAGTGGAATATTATGAAACTAAGTAATATATTAATGTTTCCTGAGTGAAAGATATATATTAAACTTTTACTATTAAAATTTGGCACAGACATGTACTTTTATGATCTGTATAACTTGCTCAATGGTTTATTATTTAGCTGGTGTTAAATTTCTGGTGTTTCTTCTGTTGCATACCTGTAATTCAGCATCTTTGGGGTAGTTAAATCTGAGAAACTGGATCAGCAATGTATTGGAGAAAGGGAATACAAATAGTGACTTTTGAACAGTTATACGGTTCCCTATCTGATTTCTATTTTCCATGAATCTCTGGTCCTGGGAAACTGGGAACGGTTGCTCTCTCAGTTGATATATTTTTTTTCAGGCCAGGAGCATGAAAAGGCTGAAGCTTCTGAGTATATCAGCTTCCTGGAACTGGGTGATTGTATTTGCAGGCACTTCTCTATAGAACATAAAACAGTACAGCACACTACAGGCCCTTTGGCCCACGATGTTGTGGCGAACTTTTACCCTAAACCTAAGGTCTATCTAACCTCCACCCCTACCTTATACTATCATCCATATGCCTATCTAATAGCCGCTTAAATGCCCCTAATGAGGCCGACTCCACTACCCTCTCCGGCAATGCATTCCATGCCCCGACCACTCTGAGTAAAGAACCTACGTCTGACGTCTCCCCTATATTTACCTCCACTCACTTTAAAACTATGTCCCCTCATAATAGCTACCTCCACCCTAGGAAAAAGTCTCTGGCTGTCCACTCTATCTATACCTCTGATCATTTTGTACACCTCTATCAAGTCACCTCTCATCCTTCGTCGTTCTAAAGAGAAAAGCCCTAGCGCTCTCAACCTTACCTCATAAGACCTTCCCTCCATTCCAGGCAACATCCTGGTAGATCTCCTCTGCACCTTTTCCAACGCTTCCACATCTTTCCCATAATGAGGCGACCAGAACTGGACACAATACTCCAGATGTGGCCGAATCAGGCTTTTGTACAGCTGGAGTATAACTTCACGGCTCTTGAACTCAATCCCTCTATTACTGAAAGTTAACACACCATACGCCTTCTTAACAACTCTATCCACCTGGGTGGCAGCTTTCAGGGAACTGTGGACATGAACCCCAAGATCCCTCTGCTCCTCCACACTGCCAAAAATCTTTCTGTTAACCCTGTATTCTGCTTTTAAATTTGTCCTTCCAAAATGAATCATCTCTCTCTTTTCAGGGTTAAACTCCATCTGCCACTTCTCAGCCCAGCTCTGCATCCTATGAATGTCCCTTTGTAACCTAGAACAGCCCTCTGCACTATCCACAGCTCAACCCACCTTCGTATTGTCCGCGAACTTACTAATTCACCCTTCCATTCCTACATCCAAATCGTTTACAAAAATCTCAAATAGAAGAGGACCCAGAACAGATCCTTGTGTTACACCACTCATAACTGAGCACCATGTTGAATATTTTCCATCCACTACCACCCTTTGTCTTCGAAGGGTCAGTCAATTCTGAATCCAATCTGCCACATTTCCCCCTATCCCATGCCTCCTGACTTTCTGCATGAGCCTACCATGGGGAACCTTATCAAACGCCTTACTTAAATCCATGTATATCACATCCACTGCTCTACCTTCATCCACGTGTTTGGTCACGTCTTCAAAGAATTCAATAAGGTTTGTGAGGCATGATCTATGTCACAAATCCATGCTGACTATCACGAATCAAACTGTGCCTTTCCAAGTGATCATAAATCCTATCTCTCAGAACCCTTTCCAATAATTTGCCCATCGCTGACGTAAGACTAACTGGCCTGTAATTTCCGGGGTTATCCCTATTCCCTTTTTTTGAACAAGGGAATGACGATTGCGCCTCTCCAATCTTCCGGCACTATACCTGTGGACAGTGAGGATGAAAAGATCATCGCCAAAGGCCCTGCGATCTCTTCCCTCGCTTCCTGTAGAATCCTTGGATAAATCCCATCAGGCCCGGGGGACATATGTATCTTCAAGTTCCTCAAAATTCCTAGTACATCTTCCTTACTAACATCGACCTCCTCTAGCCTACCAGCCTGTTTCACACTGTTCTCCTCTACAACTAGGTCCCTCTCAGTTGTGAATACTGAAGAAAAGTATTCATTAAGGACCCCTCCTATCTCTTTAGGCTCCGTGCACAAATTCCCTTTACAATCCTTATCGGCCCTACCCTTTCTCTGGTCATTCTCTTATTCCTCACGTACGTTGTTGAGTGAACTTTGTGTTGAAGCACTTTTGCTTTGTTTATGCCATTTTCAATATTGATATTCACTCTATGTAAGAAATATTTTTGTGTAAAGAGCAATACATTATTGTCCACCAACTCCAGTTTCTTGCTTAAGAGATTGGATAACCCTGCTCTTTAAAACAAAAGCTTGATTGTGTGACAATGACTTCACTCAAAAGTAATGCAGCTTGAGACTGGAAAAAATACAAAGTGGAAGCCAAATAATTGCGCACAGGAATGAAAATGTGGTGGTCTCCTTGGTCGATTCACTAACCCCTTCGTATCTGGTTTGAGAATGCCATTGGTAGAAAATGAACATGTATTTTTGATTTGGTATGTGACCACGTTTTGGCAAAATAGAAGATAAACTAAAATGACATTGCAACCCAAGTGTGGAGGAAGCATAGACACTACATAACCATACGAGTATTTAGAATGCATAGTTTTGCTTCCTTATGGTCATAGAAAACATGTAGTTTAAACTTATTTTCCTTGCGCAGGCAATTGCAAAAATGCAACACTATATATTTCTGTAAACTAACTTTCTGGGGCTTATATCATCTGATTTACTTCACTCATAGTAAATTGTTGGTCTTTGGCTTGCGTGTAAAGTGAAGTACGTTTAACTTGTTTTTCCAGATGATGATTTTGGGGTGGATGAGGGAGGGGGAGCATATTGGGCTAGTCAGTAGTGATTTCTTGAAAGACCAAAATATGTTGTTTCCAGAAGTAAAGTAAGTGCAGGAGTATCCGTAATTCTGTAGCCCAGAGAATTGCAAATATGTACGGTCCTTTGAAGAACTTTCTCAGTCTTAAATGATTGTCTCCTTGTTCTGAGACTGTGCCCTCATGATTCGGATTCCTCAGCCACCAGAAACAATGTCACAATTATCTACCTTGTCAAGTCCCTTCATAATCTTGAATGTTTCAATGGGATCATCTTAATTCTTTTAAACTCCAAAAAAAATTGGTCCAATTTAACCCATCCTCTCATTATAACCAGTGCTGTCAACCCAAGGACCAACCTGGTGAACCTTCACTCCACTGCCTCCAATGCAAGTATGTCCTTGCTTAAGTATGGATACCAAAACTGTACATAGCAATCCAGCTTTGGGCAGTCCAAAGCTCTGCAATTTTTGCAAGGCATTTTTATTCCTTTACTCCAAAACCGTTACAATAAAGACCAACATACCATTTGCCTTCCTATGTGCCTGCATGCTGATTATTTCTCCTTTTTTTTGAGCATATCCAAGTGTCTCTGAACATCAACAGTTAGATGTTTCATACCTTTCAGAAAATGTCCTACTTCTCAGTTTCTGTACCAAGATGAAGAACTTCACACACCCCCCACATTATACTTTCCCATCTTATTGTCTAGTCACTTAACCTGTGTTTCTCTTTGCACCCTTCCTTTCCTTCCTTCCTTACAGCATACATTTCATCCAGCTTTGTAATGTCTGCAAACTTGTACGTTACTCTTTGTCTTTCGTTCAAGTTGTTAATATTGAAGCCGCAGCATTCCACTATCAGCCTGCAAACATGAGCATACCCTACTTATACCAATTCCTTGCTTCCTGTCCATTAGATTTGTCATTCAATGAGATCACAGATAATCTGATGATCCTCAACTCCCCTTTTTTCCCCAATTACCCTCAATTTCCTTATTGATTAAATATCTGTCTAAGCTTTGAATATACTTAAATACTCTGCCTTAACAGCCCTCTGCAGTGAAGAATGTCACAGATTCACTACCATCTCAGTGAAAACATCCTCTTATGGAAATCTAGCTTAGAAACACAAACATGTCTCTGTATGTTGTTTAATGCTGAATGCCATTTTCTATGCATTCAATCGCTTCCAAAATATGTTTTAAAGTGGGAACAAAGTTTATGTTACTAGGCATGAAGAGGGAAATGACATAATTAAATGGATATTCAAAGCCTGTAGAATTGCTTGGTTTTGTTTGCTTAGTGCACAAAAGCTTTAAAACTGAAAATGGTCAAACAGTTGTAGAAAATCTAAACTTGCAGTTCATGAACTCTCAAATTAGGGGCCCCATAAAAACATCTACAAATCCGTATTAATAACTTGAGGCAGGTTATTGTTGCTTCCATATTATCACACCCATATTAAAATTGTAAGCCAGAAAGGTTTGAAATAGATTCTAGAGGATTAGTTTTATAATATTTGCTTTGGGTGTGGGGGATGGCAAGGTCCATGGTTTGTGTTAGCACCAGTTTTCTCTCTGTTCCCTCAGCAACTCAAAAGTCCTTGCACAGGTTATGAACAAATCAGTCTCTAAGTGCTTACATGGCGATGTAAAAATAAAAATAAAGGGGCTGCACAACTAAAATTGCCTTTGCCCTCAAACAAAAAATATAGGGTATTTTGGTCCACACTGATGTCATTTTTATATCAGTAACTTGTATTCCAGGTCTCTGGTACCTTTTTTAATCTAATCATTATTAGCACTGACAACTAGTGTGTCTACACTATTCACCTACTTAGTGGACGCACTTGCTACAAATATTAAACATTGTGAGCTGGCACATGGTTCTAATCTTGTATTTTCTTCCCCCCTCAGGTTACTGACCCACTCATTAATGGGAACAGTTATTCCTTATTTACTTTTAAAACCTGTTATAGTAGAGGTTTTGAAAATTACACAGACATTAAAAGCAGAAATCGGTCATTCAACCCTTTAAGCTTGCTCTCCCATTCAGTACGATCATAACTAATCTGTTTGATTTGAATTTGACTTCAACAGTTTTAGGGCTTGAGGCACCTTCTCCATGGCTTTCTCCCAACCCCCATGCACCAGGCCTTGTCATCACATGGGCTACTACCATACACAACCCATTGCCAGCTACTAACAGACCCCATTAACACCCATTCATTCCCCCAGACTGACTTCTAACCACTCCTTTGTCTGCCCAACTGTTTCTCTCTCTCTTTGGGCTTTATCTTCACCTATCATTTACTCTTCCCATATCTCACCCACCATCTTCTGCGTAAATACCAACCTTTTCCTAGCTACCATCAGTTCTGAAGAAGGGTCCACAAGACCTAGGAGCAGAAATTACTCATTCAGCCCGTAGAGTCTGCTCCACCATTCAATCATGGCTGATAAGTTTCTTAGCCCCATTCTCCCACTTTCTCCCTGTAACCCTTGATCCCTTTGACAACCAAGAACCTATTCATCTCTGTCTTAAATATACTCATTGATCTGGCCTCCACAGCCTTCTGTGGCAGTGAAATCCAGATTCACCACTCTCTGGCTGAAGAAGTTTCTCCTCACCTCCGATTTAAAAGGTTTTCCCTTTATTTTAAGGCTGTGCCCTCGGGTGCTAGTCTCTCCTGCCAGTGGAAACATCTTCCCAACATCCACTCTGTCCAGGCCATTCAGTATTCTGTAAGTTTCAATTAGATCCCCCCTCAGCCTTCTAAACTCCTTTGAGTATAGACCCAGAGTTCACAAATGTTCCTCTTACATTAAACTTTTCAGTCCTGGGATCATTCTCGTGAACCTCCTCTGAACCTGTTCCAGGGCCAGTACATCTTTCCTGAGATATGGAGCCCAAAATTGCACTCAATACTCCACATGTGGCCTGACCAGAATCTTTTAAAGCCCCAGTAGTACATCCCTGCTTTTATATTCAAGTCCTCTCAAAATAAATGCCAACATTGCATTTGCCTTCCTGACTACGGACTCAACCTGCAAGTTTACCTTGAGAATCCTAGACTAGGACTTCCAAGTCTCTTTGCACTTCAGACTTCTGAATTTTCTCCCCATTTAGAAAATAGTCCGTACCTCTCCTCTTCCCAAAGTGCATGACCTCACACTTTCCCACGATTTACTCCATCTGCCACTTCCTAACCTGCCCAAATCCTTCTGCAGCCTCCCCACCTCCTCAATACTACCTGTCCCTCTACCTATTTTGTATCGTCTGCAAACTTAGCCAGAATTCCCTCAGTTCCTTCATCTCGATCATTAATGTATAAAGTGAAAAGTAGTGGTCCCAATGCTGACCTTTGCGGAACACCACTTGTCACCGGCTGCCCTCACTCTCTGCTTTCTGCCAGAGAGCCAATCTCCTATCCATGCTAGTACCTTGCTCTAATACCATGGGCCTTATCTTACTCAGCGGCATCTTATAAAAGGCCTTCTTGAAGTCCAGGTAAATAATATCTGTTGGCTTTCCTTGGTCTAACCTGCTCATTATTTCCTGAAAGAATTCTAACAGATTTGTCAGGCATGACCTCTCCTGATGAAGCCATGCTGACTTTGCCCTATTTTACCATGCACTTCCAAGTATTCAGAAATTTCATCTTCACAATGAACTGTAAAACGTTAACTCTGCTTTCTCTCCATAGATGCTGCGAGACCTGAATTTTTCCGGAAATTTCTGTTGATAACCTTTGATTTTGTTGCGTACTAAAAATCTATCTGCTTTGTCTTCACATACTTGATGCCACCTGCAACACCACCTGAGGCAGAAAATGCCAAATGCACACAAACCCTCAGAGGGGAAAACAGTTCCTCATCAGTGCCATGAAGGGCAACCCCTCATTTTTAAACAGTGCCCTCCCTGTTCTGGTCTCGCCCACAAGGAAATATCCTGTCATGTCCTCCTTGTTAAGGCTTTTTAAGACCTTATATACTTCAATCATGTCACACCTCAGTTCTTTCAATTCCAGTGGATGCGCACACAGCCTGTCCTCCCCTTCGTTATAAGATTAATGAAGTAATTCTGGGTATCAATCTAGTGAATATGTCCCTCTAACTCATCCTGCTCTGAATAATTCCAGCTTCTCTATGGCAATATGACTTAGAAGCATGTAAACAACATGTAATTTTTCTGGTTGTTTTGGAGTCTGTATCTGCAGTTTGCCAATCAAATTAGGTGATTTTATAATTCTATTTTAAAAATGGAACCAAATCACTTTTATTCGAGGTAAGTATGTTAGTATTTAACCTCATAGAAAGTTTAGCAACATGTAAGCTGACAATGGAATGAGAAAACAATGAGTTGTATTTCTGTATTTGCATAATACAAGAAGCAGATATAAATATAAGTAAGCTTAAAAGCAGGTTTGCAAATGTTTATGGACTACTAAATTATTACTGGGTGATCTCATAGTCATAATCATATATTATTTTGTGTACCGTTGCCAGGTTTCATGTTCCAAGCTCAAAAGGCAATACAGAAGCATATTTACATGCTTTGGCTGATGCTCGATGTGTCTTTGATATGGCTGTAAGTACCTTAAAAATTTCACGAACTTGCTGAGAATAACTCATAACACGAAGTTAGAATGTGTGTTGCATCACAATATTGAATTTATTCAGTAGAGGGTGCTGCTCTCAAATTGATTTGGTTGGTTTACTGAGTTTTGCTAATGTAAATTGCACATTAATGGATCCTCTCTGATATCAAAGCATCTGTCAAATTATATTGACTGTATTAAACTCAATATTGTAGGAATATAACACAGGTCTTGTAACATATCCAGATCCCATCCTTTGCAACTGAGCATCCGTTTTGAAAACTTTCTCTCCTGTTTATCATCCCAACCTGAATCAAATCAATTAACGATCCTTCCAAGCAACCTGAGTTAAAACATGACGTCCAGTTTCTGCTGTGTTAAAAGATTTGTTCAACTGTTTTCTGTGTTTAATTTGATGGTGACACGTGTTTATTTTTCAGGAAGTGCAGCTTACATAGCAAAGTAAACACAAAGCAAAATTAAGTAAACTCTCTGATTTCTACTCTTCTGTTTCAGGCAGAGTTTGGCTTCAACATGAATATCCTTGACATTGGAGGTGGTTTTTCTGGAACAGATGGAGAATTAGAGCTAGAAAAGGTATGAAAAAGCTTCATTGTAATCACTACTGAGTGTAAAAATAAAATATTCAAGATGCTATATCAAAGAATAATAAAGCAATGTGTAATTCCCTGATACTGTTGTGGATCTTGAGTTTCCCTATACTTGACTGCAATAAGTGCTGAACACAGGAGCATCCAACCAGAAATCTTGCATATTTGCCAATGCCTGGTTGCAGAAATGCATCAGCAAAGATCTGAACAGGTTATTCCAACTACATGTCTTTTCAAAAATATTCATCAGAAGTTTGAATTTTTCTTTTCACAAGGTGTTTGTAAAACAAACTTTTTGAAAAAAGGATTTGACCATTTTGATTTGCTGCTTGATATATTTAAATTAAGTTGTTTTCACTACAGGCAGACGTGTATCTTTTTCTTAAATTAAGCCACCTATTTCAAGTGTGTTTCTATTTCATGGGTTTAATAGCTGTTACTTATGTATAATTCAAATGTATGAATACAGTTTGTATTTTAGTAACAAGTTTGTCTCCCATTCTAGGTTTGTGACGCAATTAATCCACTCCTTGATATTTACTTTCCTTCTGAAAGTGGCATTAAAATCATTGCTGAACCTGGTAGCTACTATGTGAATTCTGCATTCACTCTAGCAGTTAATATTGTAGCCAAGAAAGCTGTTGCAAGAGATTCACAGGATCAGACTGGAGGTAATTCCAAGCATTCTCATTTGAGTTACATTTAACACAATAGTATGCTGTTGATACTCATAAAGCATTCATATAATAGCCCTTCGTAGGATACTTGAATTGATTGTTCAACCGTTGTTTCCAAGGCTAATTTTTAGGATTTCATTATAGCTTAAATACCTCAGCTCTTTGGCATCAAAAAAAAATGTTTTTTTCCCCACTTGAAATGTCCCTGATCACAAAGTATTTTCTACATTAGATGTAATGTGGACAGTACTTTGTATTTTGGCCTAGTGATGTAGTTTTATTAATTACCGTGCCCTAAAGGAATAATCCTAATCGCTATCAATTAAATTCCAATCATCGTCTTGCACACCCCCGAAATTTGCATTGTACTTTCCCTGAGTGAGTGTCATGTTGTAGGTTTGCATTTATACCATGGATTTTTGACTCGCTTAGAAGAAGATTGGCTAATAAAAACTTTCAATGACAAACTGAGTTAGGGGAAGCCCATTTGTTAATTTAGTCCATCTTCATCTAGCAACCTAGAATTCCTTCCATAGCAGTGTCCAGTCTGCTCAAATGGATTGGAGTACCTTAATCAGAATACAATCCCACATGGTAATTACCATGGATGTTTCTTTGCCTTATTCCACAATTCCACAATTTCCCTATTAGCAGTTTGTATCTAATGCCCTCTTGCCTTTAAACATTTCTGGTTTAAATTGAAATACTGCTCGGGATTAACTTTGCTTTTATTCCATGCAAAATCTTGCATATCTCTGAAGTTTCTGGTATATCTTAAGGCTGGTGAGGTTTTTCTAAACTTTCCTCTAAAACTCCTCTTCCATAGAATGCTTCAGTTGTTTGACAGAATATGAGATCAGACTGAACTGATTTGACTTTTATCAGAAGTGCAGCGTACAAATCCACTGAGGATAGAGTTCAGCAAGGCCATTTTTTTAATAATTATATGAAGCAACAATGGCCAAGAACCAAATTCTGAAAAGTAATTGTTTCCTTATCCCTTGCAGTGGTTGTCTCCTCGATGAATGATGAACCATTCTTCATATATTACATAAGTGATGGTGTTTATGGCTCTTTTGCAAACAGCTTGTTTGGCACTGTGAATGCTATTCCAATTCTTCACAAGGTGAGATTATTATATGGCAGATGTTAGGAACAGGAATTATGTTGTAATTTCAAATCTCAAATTAAAATCAAACCAAGAATTTGATAGATGCATGTAAGCATTTACACCAACTAAGTATGATTTTGGATTGTCAACTTAACAAAGTCAAAACTGATGATTAGTGCACTTGTTACAATGAGCATATCTTTCAAAATTGTTGTATTTCTTGGTCAAGGTATGCTGTTTTTGGAAGTGAAACTAACACAACCTGCCATCTCAATTTTTCTTAAGCCAAAAATGTTTTTTTGTTTGCAGATTACTGTCTGCTTGAAACCTTAGACCGTCATTGAAGTTCTATAGTGCCGTTCCCTGTGAAACTCTGATGGTCCAATGCAACTGACAAATCATTTTCCTTTCTTTCACTATAGAAGCCTAATTCAGGAGAGCCTGTGTTTGCCAGCAGCCTGTGGGGACCATCTTGTGATGGGCTTGATCAAGTTGTGGAACACTGTCTCCTACCTGAACTAAGTGTTGGTGATTGGGTCATCTTTGAAAACATGGGAGCATACACATTGGAGCAATCTGCTTTCAGTGAGTTCCAGAGGCTGCCCGTTTATTGTGTGATGTCAATCAGTGAT